CCCAAAACATGGAAAAAGTTGGAATCATGAAGTTCATGTTGGGAAAATAGAATAGAATAGAATGGAATGGAATCAGTGGTGGGTTGCTACCGGTTTGCCTTGGATCGGCAGGAGGCAGGAGGCTCCACCCACGCGCAGAAGCAGCGCACACGCAGCGCACACGCAGAAGCACCCCCACCCCCACGAGCAAACCGGTAGTGACAGGATTTGAAACCCACTACTGAATGGAATGGAATAGAATTCTTTATTGGCCAAGTGTGATTGGACACATAAGGAATTTGTCTTTGGTTCAGAGGCTCTCAGTGTACATAAAAATAAAAAAAATACATTCATCAAGAATCATAAGATACAACCCTTAGTGATACATAGGTTACTAATAAGCAAACAAATCATACTAGGAAACAAATAAAACAATATAAATCGTAGAGATACAAGCAACAAGGTTATAGTCGTAAGTGGGAGGAGATAGGTAATAGGAAGGATGAGAAGAAGAATAGTAATACAGTCTTAGTAAATAGTTTGACAGTGTTGTGGGAATTAGTTGTTTAGCAGAGTGATGGCATTTGGGAAAAACCTTCCTTGTGTCTAGTTGTTCTGGTGTGCAGTGTCCATGATGTCGAACTTATGGCATGCGTGCTACAGGTGGCATGCATAGCCATATCAGTGGGCATGTGAGCTAAGCTCCGGCGCGCATGCGCACCCCAGCCAGAAGTAGGGAAACAGGCTGTTTCCTGCCTCTGGAGGGCCTTGGGGGGTGGTGGGGAAGGCCCGGTTTTCTCTCTCACCTGGCTCCAGAGCCTTTCTAGGAGTCTGGGGAGGGTGAAAACGGCCTTCCCCACCCATCCGGAGGCCAGAAATGGCCCATTTGCCAACTTCTGGTGGGACTGGAAGGTCCGTTTTTTGCTGTCCCCAGCCTCCAAAGCCTCTCTAGGAGTCTCGGTGGCCCTCAGGAGGCTGAAAATGGCCTGTTTGCCAACTTCCGGTCCCACCGGAATAGAATTATGCGTGTGGGCACGCACGCGACTCCCCCTGCCCTCCCTCCTGGCACACGATGGAAAAAAGGTTAGCCATCACTTCCCTATAGTGTTGTTTTGAGAGTAGAAGTTGAAACAATTTATGTCCAGGATGTGAAGGGTTTGAAGATATTTTCACAGCCCCCTTTTTGATTCGTGCAGTATACACGTCCTCAATGGAAGGCAGGTTGGTAGCAATTATTTTTTAACAATTAAAATTTAAAATAGTGATCTTTTTTTATTTGTTTGTTTGTTTAGGCCATCAGTTTCCCTTTGGGTAAATGAATATTTTGTGATTAATCACAATTACCATGAACAGCCTTTTGTAGACAAGGCATATTTCTGTGTCGTAGCTGCTTTGAGAGAGCGTTCAAAACTAGCTCACCAAATGTCAAAAAGTTCTACCAGTTGTCCCCAATGTTCCTATTCCTTGAATGTTCCTATTCTTCCTATTTTTTCTTCTATTGGAGACAGATTTCCAGCTGCTCTACCGTTGTTATCTGGTAATTCTAGTAGAAAGGTATTTCAATATTTCAAAAGATCTATTTTTAGACATAATTTGTTTGTCTCCGTTTAAATCAGTAATCGCCTGCCTTGTACCTTTGGCATTAGAGTGCATTTTTGAAAGCCAGCGTTCCAAAATAAAGAGAACTTTCCGGGGGTCCCTGACATAATGGGGGGAAAAGTGAAGCTTCTATACTCGGCAGAGTAAGAAATAAACATGATTCATAATGATAAGCTACTTTTAGAAATACAGTCTGATGTCTAGCCACAATGTAATTAAGGACCTCTGAGCCTTCCAGAAGAGTGGCATTTACTCTGAAATAATCACAATTACAGTACAAAATAATGACAATGAACCGCCACTCCAGCAAAACAATTGAGTTTGTTTTTTTTAAAAAAAAAAATCCCGAAAGAAGGAAAGAAATAATTTTCTAACAGATACAAATGCAGTTAACAACTGCTTTGGTGAAGCTGCCATGACAGATTGGTTGAAATGCTGTGACATCTCTTGGAAATTTCCTCGGTTGCCATTGGCCAAACTCAGAGGTGGGTTTCAGCAGGTTCTGACCAGTTCTGGAGAACCGGTAGTGGAAAATTCTGACTGGCCCCACCCCCATCTATTCTCTGCCTCCCAAGTCCCAGCTGATTGGGAGGAAATGGGGATTTTGCAATAAACTTCTCCTGGATTGGGGAGGGAATGGAGATTTTACAGTATCCTTCCCCTGACCTGCCCACCAAGCCACACCCACCAAACCAAGCTACTATCCACAGAACCAGTAGTAAAAAATTTTGAAACCCACCACTGGCCAAACTCTTCCATAACAGAATGCCGGGCAGCAAGAAAAAGATACAATAGAAAATAGTAATCGGTGCAACAACAACAACAACAACAAAAAGGATCTGAAAATAACAGGAAGAAAAACAAGAGGGGCTGAAAAGCAAAGTTTGAGGTTGGAGCAGAGGTCTCCAACCTTGGCAACTTTAAGCCTAGAAGACTTCAAATCCCAGAATTCCCCTGGCAAGCACTAAGTCAAGATTCAGTCCCTAGCTTCTCTCTCAAATAAAGCAAGATACCACTTTATAATGCCTTGGTAAGGCCATGCTTGGAATACTGCATTCAATTTTGGTCACCATGATGTAAAAAAGATGTGGAGACTAGAAATAATGCAGAGAAGAGCAACAAAGATGATTAGGGGACTGGAGGCTAAAACATATGAAGAATGATTGCAGGAACTGCATATGTCTAGTTTGATGAAAAGAAGGTCTAGGGGAGACATGATAGCAGTGTTCCAATATCTCAGGGGTTGCCACAAAGAAGAGGGAGTCAAGCTATTCTTCAAAGCACCTGAGGGTAGGACAAGAAGCAATGGGTGGAAACTAATCAAGGAGAGAAGCAATTTAGAACTAAGGAGAAATTTCCTGACAGTTAGAACAATTAATCAGTGGAATAACTTGCCTGCAGAAGTTGTGAATGCTCCAACACTGGAAGTTTTTAAGAAGATGTTGGATAACCATTTGTCTGAAGTGGTGTAGAGTTTCCTGCCTAAGCAGGGGGTTGGACTAGAAGACCTCCAAGGTCCCTTCCAACTCTTGTTATTCTATTCTAAGATGCCAGGGTCACTGTTGTTGTACTTGGTGGTGTCTTTTGGATTGTGGGTTTCCCAACTTTCTCCCTGAGCTCCAAAGCTAATGGTGCAAGTGCTTTCTAGCATGGCTAGAAATAAAAAAAATAGGGCAAGGAATATAAAAGGCCTGTTTTCTTGTCTCCACCATATGCTAATACTTGTGCAATTACTTCTTTGGGGGAAAAAACACCTATGTAAAATGCTGGGCTTTTCCATTTTATGTTTATTCGCTGAATTTATATGTAAAACGGTGACTTTCCCCCTTCCCCCAATCTGTTCATAAATCCTTTCCTGTCTCTACCTATTATTTGCATCAAAGTGGAAATGACAGCTGAGTTGGTTTTAAGTTCCATGCTGGTCTGTACGATATTTTTTGCTTTATCTGTAGAGGAAGTCTGAGGCTGATAATAAAATGTTCCCGTTCCAAGAACTGTTTAATAAACCACCCAGACAAATGGAGCTTTATTCTCTCAACTCTGCTTGGCTGGCAAGGAGGTCTCCCTGCAGTAAGAGCTGAGCATGCAAATCCCATAGCAAAGGAGAGACAGCACTTTTTCACCCAAACAATGTCTAGACAGGCTGAAACAGATAAATTAACAGGCAGCAACAGAAAGCATCACTCAGAGGCAAGCGAGTAGATATTTGTCACCTCAGCAAAGGTTTATATGAAGATTCAAGGCCCAGTACAATCTCTCGGAAAGCACAATGGTATTTCCAATGGCTCTTTAACCAATCCCATTCCCCCACTCGTCTCTTGAGCTGTTTACAAAATTAGCAGCTGTCTTAAAGAAAGTTGACATTTACTGAGGCAAGACACCCCTCCTGTCTGAAAGGCTGTCTCAATGAGACTGCAAGATTTGGGATGCAGGATAGGTCAACAACTAGAGCTGGGGGAGCCTGAAGCCAGATTTCCTATGTTAAATGAAGCCATTTCAAGGGAGCAGTGAAGTGCCTCTATTTTCATGCATCATATTCTGTATTCATGAAAATTATCTGCCTAGGGCTTGTGTGTGTGTGTGTGTGTGTGTGTGTGTGTGTATGCAGACGAGTTCTCTGAAGTAATGAAGGGAAATGAAGTAAAATCATTACATGGACTGGTGGGATGCTGAGGAATCAACCCCTCAAAAACTTCAAAAGGTGGAATCTGAACTTTCCAGATATAAGATATCCAAGATGTACACATCCAACATTTTTATAGAGAGGGGCAAATAGGACTCTACTCTGGAGTGTGCAGCAGCATCACAACAAACAGAAGACTTCTCTTTCTCTCTTTTGTGTATTGTCTGCCCATCTCTCTCTCTCTCTCTCTCTCTCTCTCTCTCTCTCTCTTCATTATCATCATCTATTACTCATATAAAAACACATTTATGAGACAGATGTCTTAAAAATGAAAATAACTTTCCAGGCAAAATGAGAGTTTGCAAAACCTGCAGCAGTGATAGGCAACAACAACAAAAACAACAAAACTTCCCAAAGATTTGCACACATACATATACACAATCTGCATCCATTTTGGGGTCTTGGCTTAAGGAGTTTTTTCTATATTGCTTCTTCTAACATATACAGGTTTTAAAACTGTGTATGTTAGAAGAAGCAATGTAGAAAAAACTCCATAAGCTAAGACCCCAAAATGGATGCAGATTGTTTCTCCAAATCTATAAAATACTCCAGGGATCAAATTACTGCTTTTCTAACTCGGATAATAAAATGGGACCGGAGTCATACAGATCTATGCATTCCTAGCCAGATGGGCATCCAATTTGTACTCCGTCCTTAAACTCTGGCCAAAGACAAGGAGATTAACGACAGACTGTTCTGCATGGTAGTTGAAGCTGCTTCCTTTGTTAAACTGCTTTTAACTTTAAAAATTCCAATCTGGATTAAAGTGGCTTCACAATGGGGCAAAGTTGATACTCGACAATGTGTAATCAGGTATCTTAATTCAGAAGATTTTAAAGATTAATAGACAGTTTTACAGAAGATTTTTAAAGATTAATATCTAATTGAAGCTACATGTATTTCTTTTGGGACTGATTGACAAAAAGTTGAAATAATGTCACGGAACTTTGTTTTTATAGATGATTAGATAACCAATGACTGGTTGGCTCATCCTTTTGGAGATATCTTCTTGCCTAAACTGAGAAACTAAGCAACCACAGGCCAGACTGAAGGAAACTTGTTGACTCAGCCTTCCATCCTTTCGAGGTAGGTAAAATGAGAACCCGGATTGTGGGGGCAATAAGCTGACTTTGTATAAAAAAGAACACTGCTTGGGGGGGCCGAAAGCCCTACTAAGCAGGTATATACAAAAGTATGAAGGCTATTGCTTAATGCATTGTAAGCCGCCTTGAGTCTCAGGAGAAGGGCGGCATATAAATCGAACCAATACATAAATAAATAAATAAACTTCAAAATGAAGGAAACTTCATTTTATTTTATTTTTTAAAAGAAAGATGCGTAGCAAGACAAATATAGATGCTTTTTTGTTTAATGAAGGATGCTTTTAATGACAATATTTGTGGTTGATTTGCCATTTTTTAAAGAATACTTTAATTGAATGGAAACTAATAAAGGAGAGAAGCAACCTAGAATTAAGGAGAAATTTCCTGACATTTAGAACAATTAATCAGTGGAACAACTTGCCTTCTGAAGTTGTGGGTGGTTCAACACTAGAGGTTTTTAAGAAGAGATTGGACAACCATTTTTTGGAATTTCCTGCCTGAGCAGGAGGTTGGGCTAGAAGCAGGGGTGGGTTCTAATTTTTTTTACTACTGGTTCTGTGGGTGTGGCTTATTTTGTGGGCATGGCTTGGTGGTGGTAATGTGACTGGGTGGGCATGGCCAACTTTTTTTTTTTACTTTTAAAAGCATTTTTTCTACAACCTTAAGAGGTTGCAGAAAAAAATGCTTTGAAAAGCCTCTGCTGATCAGGCAACTCAGCTGGGATCGTCAGAGGCTTTTCAAAGCATTTTTTTTACCACCTCTTCGAAGAGGTTGTAGAAAAAATGCTTTTAAAAGTGAAAAAAAAAAAGCCTCTGATGAGTTGGGCGGGGTAAGCGAGCGGCGACCGGGCCGGGGACCTATTTGGGGGCGTGGCCAGCCAATGTTATTACCGGTTCTCGGAACTACTACAAATTTTTACTACCGGTTCTTGCGAACCGGTGCGAACCAGGAGCAACCCTCCACTCACTAGAAGACCTCCAAGGTCCCTTCCAACTCTCTTCTTCTGTTATTCTTCAGCTTAAAATGACATACAGCTGACCATGCTGGAATACTGGTTTCTCCAGATAAATCAGCATGGTTTGTCCTTGCTCTTTATGTATAGTGAGAGCAAAGCATAACTGTATTGGGAATTGTGCCCACTGAAGAGGAACATTTTCACCTTCTGATGAACAGAGCATAATTTTTGGAATCATGACAATGTCATTTCTGAATGCACCAATGTTCATTTTTGCTACAATGAGATTCTTGTGGAGTTCTTCTATGACCATCCGTGTTCCATTGCGAAGTCTTGGGAGATCCAAGTTCCTCAATAAAATAATGGGAGATCCTATCTTCAATTCTAGTTTGTGTGGTGGCGATCCAGAGAGATCAGCTGACTGAAGGAATTCTATGGAAAATGAGTAGTATTAGCTCCTTCACTGATAGCACTGAAGGAACAATATTTTTTCATCATTCCATGTAAGTGTCTAATATGCATGGAATTGATTTTTCTTATCATTTCATTGAGGGGAACAAAGTAGAGTACTTTGAAAACATTCTGCTGGATTGTCAGATGAAATCTATACATTTTCTCAAAATACTTGTTGGCAGAACCATACCTTTCTATTTCATCAGTTTGATTTTTATGAATTTTGTCTTCTCCAATATCCAATAAGAACTCAGAACACCCTCCTTCTCCCTCACTCAATCGTATGTTTCTCTTCAGCTGAAACTTGACAAAGCTTCTCCATAAGTATGGCTTTTTTGATGCATGAATTCTCCATATGAGTATCATTTCCTCTTTTCACAACTGATAGAAACTGATGGAAATCACCAAAGCAAATGGATAAAATTTCCCCAAAGGCCTCATTCTTGCCGTATTTATCATAAAAAGGCTAGTCTATAACTTCAATGTTCTTCCTCCTAATCGTTGGCTCTCATGCCAGACAATAAGCTTCACATGTCAAAGCAAATTTGCAGTATTGGAGGGATTTTTTTCATCGTTAATAAATGGCATTTTCGTTCTCTTTGATGGATATTTTTAAATCTTGAATGTGTTATTCTAGCAATAGCACTTAGAGTTATATAGAATAGAATAGAATAGAATAGAATAGAATAGAATAGAATAGAATGGAATGGAATTTTTTATTGGCCAAATGTGATTGGACACACAAGGAATTTTTCTTGGTGCATATGCTCTCAGTGTACATAAAAGAAAAGATACGTTCATCAAGAATCATAAAGTACAACACTTAATGATAGTTGTAGGGTACAAATGATACAAGCAACAAAATTACGGTCATACAGTCATAAGTGGAAGGAAATGGGTGGTGGGAATGATGAGAAGATTAATAGTAGTGCAGATTTAGCAAATAGTTTGACAGTGTTGAGGGAATTATTTGTTTAGCAGAGTGATGGCATTAGGGAAAAAACTGTTCTTGTGTCTAGTTGTTCTGGTGTGCAGTACTCTATAGCGTCGTTTTGAGGTTAGGAGTTAAAACAGTTTATGTCCAGGGTGCCAGGGGTCTGTAAATATTTTCACAGCCCACTTTTTGATTCGTGCAGTATACAGGTCCTCAATGGAAGGCAGGTTGATAGCAATTGTTTTTTCTGCAGTTCTAATTATCCTCTGAAGTCTGTGTCTGTCTTGTTGGGTTGCAGAGCCAAACAAGACAGTTATAGAGGTGCAGATGACAGACTCAATAATTCCTCTGTAGAACTGGATCAGCAGCTCCTTGGGCAGTTTGAGCTTTCTGAGTTGGCACAGAAAGAACATATACCACTTCATAGTGCTTTACAGCCCTCTCTAAGTGGTTTAGATTCAGCCTATTGCCCCCAACAATCTGGATCCTTATTTATCGACCTCAAAATGGAAGGGTGAGTTAACCTTGAGCCGATGAGAATCGAATTCCTTTTTTTTTTGAAAAAAGTTTTTTATTTTTATTTCTTAAACACATATTGTAAATTTACATTCTCTTATCCATAATTGATCATATATATATATATACATATTTTTTTCTAATGAAAGCATAAAAATAAGATATTTTAATTACATTTCTACCCTCTTTCTCCTTTCACAACAAACCTTCTTCTCCTTCTTCTTTCTTTCCCCTCCCTCCCTCCTCTCCTCTTCTACTTTCCTCCTCCTCCTCTCTTCTCCTCCCCTACTTCCCCTTCCTCTCCTCCACTCCTCCCCTCTTTCCCCCCTTTCTCACCTTCTCTCCTACTCTTGTCCCCTATCCTTTCTCCCTCTCCTCCTCTATCCCTCTCCTCTTTCCTTGCTTTCTGCTTTGTTGTGCAATATTTCCCTTATTTGATATCTGAGCAACTCCAATTTTCTAATAATATATACTTTCTTTTCAATTTCTTTCCCATTTTACCCAATCTATCATTTCACAGTTGTACATTTATATTTATAATCTTCTTTCTTCCCCCCCCCCCATCCTCCTTTTCCATTTACTTTGGTGTCATTTGAGTTTCTATTTCTTTTTTATCTTGTCCCTCATTTAATTTTCTATTAGCTATATCATTTATCTATCAACTTTTATTCATATTTCTTTTCTATCCATACATAGAATCTTTCCCATGTCTTGAAGTACACTGATTCCTCTTTATCTTTTATTCTTAGCATCAATCTGTTCATTTCCACATAGTCTAAAATCTTTTTTAATACTTCACCTTCTGACGGAATTTTCTCTGTCTTCCAATTTTGTGCAAATACAATTCTTGCGATTGCGCGCAAAGCGCGTGCATGAAGAGAACTGTAGTAATGCCGGTCGGAACCCACCACTGGTTGAAAGGGACCTTGGAGGTCTTCTAGTCCAACCCTCTGCTTAGGCAGAAAACCCTACACCACTTCAGACAAATGGTTATCCAACATCTTCTTAAAAACTTCCAGTGTTGGAGCAACTTCTGGAGGCAAGTTGTTCCACTGATTAATTGTTCTGTCAGGAAATTTCTGCTTATTTCTAGGTTGCTTCTCTCCTTGATTAATTTCCACCCATTGCTTCTTGTCCTGCTTTCAGGTGTTTTGGAGAATAGCTTGACTCCCTCTTCTTTGTGGCAGCCCCTGAGATTGGAATACTGCTATCATGTCTCCCCTAGTCCTTCTTTTCATTAAACTAGACATACCCAGTTCCTGCAAATGTTCTTCATATGTTTTAGCCTCCAGTCCCCTAATCATCTTTGTTGTTCTTCTCTGCACTCTTTCTAGAGTCTCCACATCTTTTTTACATCATGGCGACCAAAACTGAATGCAGTATTCCAAGTGTGGCCTTACCACATTATTATAATAAAAATAATAATGTAACATGAAGTAACCTGACATCACAATTTAACAATACGTGATAATGTATTGTGTGCTTTAGACGTCAACATTTGAGGACTTAGTTTTCTCCAAATGAACCTGGAAAGCTTTGACATGTGATTAAATTCTAAACATGATTCTAGGCATCCAATATTCGTGTTTTTAACAGTGGTTACCTGACTTTTTCAGCTAGATCTCCTCAGGGTATTCTATGCACATTGACCTCAGTGAAGAACATGAATTTAATACAGGCTTTAAAATGCACAAAACCATTTCAAAGGATGCTGTTGGAAAAGACTGACTGTTATTTCATAGTTGCTGTTTATGGGCAATTTCTGTAGACACAAATTACCTGAATGAGATACAGGCTTTTGTCATTTGTTGATTTATCAAACTTCAGGGAGCTGGGAATGACAATATATCTAAATGTATAGACAATAAATAATTTGCAACATCAAGGCTGTAAAAATGAAACAAGCCAAATTGTGATTAAAAGCAGTTATAGCACTAAACTAGAGACTGCTTTTTCAAAGCTGTTGTGAAAACAGCAAAAAAAAAAAAAAAGCAATTTCCTTAAGTGTCTTTTCAAGAGTCTATTCTAAAAAAGAGTGTGAGCTTATTACACAAAAAGATGTTGGATTCAGACATTCAGTTGATGGCACTTCACCACACAGGGGTTTTCACTCTGTACAGTCCAA